ATGAATTCTGTCCAAACCTCCAGGTCATAGTACACACATTTGGATGCAACTTCTGGTGAACACTGGGGTAAGAACTGGGTCCCCTCCCCAAGCTCTCCCTTGCCCTGACACATCCCCTCCCTGCCCTGCCTTGTTGCACAGCCGAGGCAGCTCCCTGCACCAGGGTGTCTTGCAGAGCACAGAGGTACCAGGCAGTGTCAGAGAGCTCCACTTCCTCCAGCTGCAGGACACTGGATTTGCCCGTGGTGTTCAGGTGCGTGGTGATCCGGCCGCTGTGCTTGGGGCCACTCCCTGCTTGATAGGAGAGCAGCTGCGGGGCTTGGCCTTTCCGCAGCTGGTACCAGAGCAGGGCATAAAAATTACTGCTCTGGTATTTGCAGGTGGTGTGGAAGGGGTGTCCCTGCTTCACCGTGACTGGTCCATCATCCTGGGTGACCGTGTCCTGCCCCGTGGCGCCTGGAAGAAAGTGATGGTGAGCTGCTCCACAGGGAAGGACTCCAGGTAGGAAAAACAAATTGGGTACAAATCCATTCTACAAAACCAGATGTGGAGATGGACATGTGAGAGTGAGTTTGGGCAGGATTTCAGAGCTCTCAGCTGCTCTGTGTACCTGCTCCTACATCTGCTTCTAAGACCACTCGGGAACAGCCTAAATTTTAGGTGCTCAAACAGGCTGAGAAACCCATCGAGATACAGCAAAAGGATTCATCTTGCTTCTGCATCCCTGTCACCACTGAGTGTTCCTCAGTTCCTGAGTACACATAAAGCTGATCTTGGAAAGAGGGAGCCCTGGTTGTGTTGCCAGCTCAGAGAACTCTGGAAGCCCTGGCAGAGCTGTGTCAACCTGGAGGCAGAATGGGACGCCCTGATAATGTCAATGAAATGAGAACATTGAGGTGCCTGGGGCAGGTTTGACAGGATCTTTGAATTTACATTAACACTGGAACTATATCTGACTGCAAAGATAGCTCAGATCTCCTGAGGTAACGGCAAAAGGATCAGAAAAGAGCAGCAGAGGGAGATGCGTTGAAGGTAAGAGAAAAGACAGAGAAATGGCCCGAGATTTCTCTCTTTTCCCTTTTCCATTACAAATCAAAGAACTTCTT